GGCTTGAGTTTGTAGGATTTTATCAGCTCTTCAATGTGAAATGTCACTTTAAGTTGTGGAGTCCTTCCAATAATCAGTAACAACACTTGTGGCCTGACACAAACAGAAACCCTAACTAACTAACTATAGACCTAGATTCAGTCTCAAGGCGCCAACACTGAAATGACGTGCGTGCACGATCTCACCGACCCGGGTCTGCTTTTCATCCGCTGGTGACTCTGAACAGAACAAATGTCTCTCCAACAGGCATGCGATATTGTAGTGTATGCTGCGTTGTTCCTCGGCTCTAATCAGCTTCCTGGCAGCAATCTCATCAGCTTCACCCAGCTGCAGCTCACACGGCCCCCTTCATTCAGTATTCTCCAGAACATGGCTCCTGCATTCAGCATCGTTCAAAACATGGCTGCAGTCTCCTCTTCCTGTTCACTAAAAACCCCACCTCTTCATGAATATACAAATATCTATGCAGTCTGAGCCTGTGTTAGAAAAACAGTGACATCTTGTGGCTAAACCGCAGAATGTCAGTCAAAACATCAATTTACTCCACACCATAATTTACTGCACACAAACAGTGTTCAAACAATGAGAGCTGTTTCCCCATCTCACAAGTGCAATTCACTAATTGTTCATAATAAATTGTTAATACTACGCTTAGAGGAGTCTTCCCTTTCTTTATGTTTATTGCATTAGAGCCTTGTTTCCACTCTAAGAAGATCTGCCTCAGTGTTATTACTTCCATCCATCCTTGATATCCATCCGGCACCTCCATACCATAGCCACAGAGGTTGGGCTCAAACAAGAACGCCCAATGGAACATATAATTTCACAGTACCGCACTGCATTGTCTTAAAATGTTATTAAAATGTCTAAACAGAGTGCACAGAAACGCTCCAATTATAAAGTGGCCAGAAAGCATGTAAGCAGCTTGGTTAGGTCACAATGTAAAATAGAGAGATGAGGCAGGTTTTTTCCCTAATTAAAATTTGAATGAATTTGGCTGAACAGTATAGATAGGGTGAGATGAAACAGCCTTTATCCTGAAATAAATATTAGAGTGTATTATTTCAGAGACACCCAATAGCCAAATATATTGCGCAGTGGCTGAAGAGCATATAAGCAAATTGGTCAGGCTACAATATCAGGAAGAGATCAAGCAGCTTTTATCTACTAATTAAAAATTAAAGTGTATTATTGTAGAGAAAATAGCCATTAATATGTATTTCCCGTCCAGCCTATTGTAATGTGCAAGCCAGGTGGGAGCTCTGCCATTCTGGATGAATGTCATATGACATTCTCCCCACAATGAGCTGTGCTGCGGTGCAATCTGACACCTTCTGTGTTCACCGGACACAGTGGATGACAGATTAATGTACCAGTTGCTGTCAGTACTATGTGATTGCTATGACCAGTCACAGCAGATCACATGGCAATTGTACATAATGAATGGTTTCCATTCATAGCCATTCATTGTGTACTATTGTGCTGCTCACTGTGATTGGTCTCAGTGATCATATGGTACAGAGAGGGCCATTCACAGCCCATCTGTGCTATGCAATTAGCTGTGGCCATTATATCACAACAATATACTCAGAATGAATAGATTCATTCACAACAAATTGTTGCTTATAACAGTGATTATCACTGCTATAAGTGATCATAGTGAGTAAAAACAAAATCCTGATTACCTCCCCAGAGTAGTACAGTGTTACTATGGTAACATTGTACTGCCCTGGTTACAGTATTTAAAACAAATTCTTAAAAAAATGTTTTTCAACTGTAGTAAAAAAAGAAAAAAAAATTATTTTTTTTTACATACTGTCACCAGTCACCAGATCACCTCATCAGTTACATGATGACGGTGTACTGCACTGGTGACAGTATGTAAAAATAATTGTGGAAAAAAAAAAATTAATTTCTTTATTTTCCAAAAAAAGTGACAAAAAATTACAACTTCAAATAACTTGCATGCCTCTTACTAAATACCTTGGACTGTCTAGTTTCCAAAAAATGGGTCATTTGGGTCATTATTGTAGTGTCCTGACATTTTTGGGCCTCAAGAAATGAGATAAGCTGTCAGTACATTAGGACTGATCGATTTTTAAATATATATACCATAGGTTGTAGATTCCAAAACTTTCCTAGAGACTAAAAATATGTACACTGATTTAGGTTATTTTTAGGCTTTAGCCTCCCTCCTGGAAGCAGTGTTTTTGCAGAAAAAATAACTGATGCATTTAAAAGCGTTTAGGCGTGTTTACAACCATCAAGCACTTGGGCGTTAATTCACTTAATTGGCCAGAATAATAATTTATTCTGACCATTGAAATTATTTAACGCTCAAGCGATAAACACACCTAGTGTTAACATGCGTTTAGGCACGTTTAGCTGCGTTTAGCCAAGTGTTTTTTCTGCCGAAATGCTGCTGGTAAACACTACTGCTACTATAACTTCTAAAAGTCTATGTGTGCATGGACAGCAAAAAAAACGCCTGATACCCCTAACAGTGGCTGCAAAAACGCCCTGTGTGCATGAGGCCTTACCAAAGAAATATAACAAAAAAAACACTATATTGTCAAAAGTATTGAGACACCCCTCCAAATCATTGGATTCAGGTGTTCCAGTCACCTCCATGGTAACAGGTGTATAAAATCAAGCACCTAAGCATGCAGACTGCTTCTACAAACATGTCTGTGAAAGAATGGGTCACTCTCAGGAGCTCAATTAATTCAAACGTGGTACCGTGATAGGTTGCCACCTCTGCAATAAATCCATCCGTGAAATTTCCTTGCTACTAAATATTCCATGGTAAACTGTTAGTGGTATTATAACAAAGTGGAAGTGACTGAGAACAACAGCAACTCAGCCACGAAGTGGTAGGCCACGTAAATTGACAGAGCGGGGTCAGCGCATGCTGAAGCGCACAGTGCTCAGAAGTTGTCCACTGTCTGCAGAATCAATAGCTAAGGACCTCCAAACTGCATGTGGCCTTCAGATTAGCACAACAACAGTGCGTAGAGAGCTTCATGGAATGGGTTTCCATGGCCAAGCAGCCACCAAGTGCAATGCAAAGCATTGGATGCAGTAGTATAAAGCACACCGCCACTGGACTCTAGAACAGTTTGGCGTTTGCCAGGAGAACAGTACTTACCTGACTGCATTTGCCAAATGTAAAGTTTGGTGGATGGGGGATTATGATGTGGGGTTGTTTTCAGTGGTTCGATTTGACCCCTTAGTTCCAGAGAAGGGAACTCTTAAGGTGTCAGCATACTAAGACATTTTGGACAATTTCATGCTCCCAACTTTGTGGGAACAGTTTTGGGAATGCCCTTCCTGTTTCAACATGACTCTGTACCAGTGTACAAAGCAAGGTCCATAAAGACATGAATGAGCGAGTTTGGGGTGGGGGAACTTGACTGGCCTGCACAGAGTCCTGACCTCAACCCGATAGAACACCTTTGGAATGAATTAGAGTGGAGACTGTGAGACAGGCCTTCTCATCCAACATCAGTGCCTAACCTCACAAATGTGGTTCTGGCAGAATGGTCAAACATTCCCATAGACACACTCCTAAACCTTGTGGACAGCCTTCCTAGAAGAGCTGAAACTGTTATAGCTGCAAAGGATGGGCCAACTCGACATTGAGCCCTACGGACTAAGACTGGTGTGCCGTTAAAGTTCATGTGCGTGTAAAGGTAGGCGTCCCAATACTTTTGGCAATATAGTGTATAAGTTGGTCTAAATTTATAAAAGAAGATGATTTGCAAAATGTATCTGCTATTTTCCTCTTGTATCAGGGATTCAAAAGGGTGTTCGCTCGGTAATGATCCCTCTCTTTCATAGTATGAATGTTGGGGTCCATGAACAGGCAATTCAGTTTTAAAGAGTCCATTTGTCCCAAAATGCCTGCAAAAGAGGACCTCTAGTCTTATGTGTCACCAAGGGCAACAGTGATACGCTGAGTTAGTATCAAATATGTCTTATTTCCTTAGCAGCAATGAGTTTAGGTTTTGATGTTAACAATATTATTTGTTAGATGCCTTACAAAGAGATATGATTGTAGTTGTGGATCCTATTTCTCAATTAAAACCACTTTATACATCCTGATAACAATGTTAGCAACCACAGCCAATGCCCAAGACAGCGTTAAAGGAGATGTTGTTATTCATTCCCCTCTGTGATGTTATAAACCAGAAGAGAAGAGGATTTTGTCACTTCTGGTTTTGGTTTGTTGTAAATAAGCCGTTATCGGCTTGTGAAAGCATCTCATAAAATTTTGGTTTGATTGGATGCTTTGGAGGGCAGAGGAAAGATATGAGGTCTAATAGACCCCAGATCTCTCAGTAAAGAGTACCTGTCACTTCCCATGTTGATAAAGGAAAAATTAAAGGTATAGTGTAAAAAAATTTAAATAAAATAAATCATGAAAAAAAAAATTAATAAGTGCCCCCATCGCCCCATGTTCACATGCAAAGGTCCCAGTGCATGAACACATGTAAGTCCTACACACGTATATATGTATACAGTGATTGTACCACATGTGATGTATCGCTGCGAACATCACAGTAAGAGCAATAATTTTGGTGGCAGACCTCCTGTGTAACTGTAAACTGACAACCTGTAAAGGCTTTTAAAGAGTCAGCCATGGAGATTTTAACCACTAGCCTACAGGGCACTTATACCCCCTTCCTGCCCAGGCCAATTTCCAGCTTTCAGCACTGTTGCACTTTGAATGACAATTGCACGGTCATGCAACACTGTACCCATATGACATTTTTATCATTTTTTTGTGACAGATAGAGCTTTATTTTGGTGGTATTTAATCAACTCTGGGTTTTTTATTTTTTCTTAAACATACCAAAAACCACTGAAAATTTTGAAAAAAAAATGCTTTTTCTTAGTTTTTGTTATAAAATTTTGTAAATAAGTGATTTTTCTCCTTCACTGATGTGCACTAATGAGACTGAACTGATGGACACTGATAGGCAGCACTGATGGACACTCATCGGTGGCACTGATGGGCAGTGATGAGGAGGCACTGGTAGGTGGCACTGATGGGCATTGACAGGCATCACTGATGGGCACTGAAAGGCAGCACTGATACATGGCACTGATATATGGCACTGATAGGCAGCACTGTTAGGCGGCACTGACTGGCACTGTAAGGCGGCACTGACTGGCACTGTTAGGCGGCACTGACTGGCACTGATAGGCAGCACTGATGCGCACTGATAGGCAGCACTGACTCGCACTGATAGGCGGCACTGATAGGCGGCACTGATTGGCAGCACTGATAGGTGGCACTGATTGGCATTGATAGGTGGCACTGACTGGCACTGATGGGTGACACTGAAAGGCAGCTCAGATGGGCACTGATATGTGGCATTGATGTGCACTGGTAGGCACTGATATGTGGCACTGATGGGCACTGACATGAGGCACTGACATAAGGCACTAATGGACACTGACAGGTGGCACTGCTGGGGCTACACTGATCATCAGGGCACACTGATCATCAGTGCCCTGATGATCAGTGTACATGTCCCCTCCTTGGAAAGCCAATTACCGACTCTCCTCTCCTCTCGAGCTGTCAGCGTGACAGCACGTGGGGAGAGAAATGCCGATAACCGGCATTTCCCTGTTTACATGTGATCAGCTGTGATTGGACACAGCTGATCACATGACCGAGCCGACATCTTCGGCTCTTTCCGTGATCGGTGATCCACTGTGTCCGAGGGACACAGCACACCGCCGATCACCACGCTGTACTGCGCGCCCTGAGCCGCGCATGCGCAGTGAGAATGGGAGGACGTCATATGACATCCTCCCAGAACGAGAGAACCACCTTGCGCCCATCATATTACTATATGGCGGGTGGGAGGTGGTTAAGAGACCCTAGACCCTTGACACTGTTGCACTGATGTATGCAGTTTTAAAGCATGGCATGTTAAGTATCTAACAAAATTGGTGATAGTAACAAGTTGCCTCTTGTGCTGTGGTGACACTGGACCCAGTATTAGTGCAAAATTGATAAGGTAATGCACACTCACCAGACGCGCATAATGTTTGCACCTTGTAACAATAATCCAGATGCAATCAGGTAGAGGACTGGCTAGGAGATGCTCTTCCCTCTTATGGAATGGTGGGTCATCACATTGGATAGTAAGAGGCTGATGAAGACAATCTTCGTCCACTAGATGTCCCTCTCTCCAATAGGTATCTCTCAGGGTATGTGAGTATCCCCTAGGAAGTACTGGTCCGTCCGTGGTATAGTGGGTCTGCAGGCTTTCAGGAATGTCCCACTCTTCCAGCATCCGTTTTGTTGGATGATAGCTTAATTACCACTGATCAAGCTTTGAACTTGAACTCCAATCACCGACCTGCACTCCTGATCCGCTGCTGGCTGCACTCGGAGTCAGATCCTGGCTCGCAGGGTAGCTTGTGCGGGGACTCCAAGTGCAGCCAACAGTGGATCAGGAGTGCAGGACGGTGATCGGAGTTCAAGATCAAAGCTTGATCAGTGGCAATTACGGAAACCACTAAGCAACTTATTCACTCCCTTGTTATCTCTGGCCTTGACTATTGTAACTCCCTCCTCATTGGCCTACCTCATCGCAGGCTATCCCCTCTTCAGTCTATCATGAATGCTGCTGCCAAACTTATCCACCTTACTAACCATTCGGTATCTGCCATCCTTCTCTGCCAGTCCCTCCACTGGCTTCCCATTGCCCAACGGATAAAATTCAAAAGATTAACAATAACGTATAAAGCCATTTATAAGTCTGCCCCAAATTACATCACCAATCTTGTCTCTAAATATCACCCAAACCGTACTCTCCGCTCCTCGCAAGACCTCCTACTCTCTAGCTCCCTTGTCTCCTCCTCCCATGCTCATCTCCAGGACTTCTCCAGAGCTTCCCCCATCCTCTGGAACTCTCTATCCCAATTTAACAGACTTTCGCCTACTCTGCTCACTTTTAGGCGATCTCTGAAAACCAATCTCTTCATGGAAGCCTATCCTACTCTCAGCTAATACTGGAATCTTCTACTTTTCCAACCAGTCCATCCCCCACAGTTACTACCTTTTGTACCAGTAGCCCCTCCTTCCTATATTGTAAGCTCCAAGGAGCAGGGCCCTCACATCCCTCTTGTAATAAACTGCATTGTTGCTGTATTGTCTCCTGTTATATTGTAAAGCGCTGAGCAAACTGTTGGCGCTATATAAATCCTGTGCAATAATAATAACAAACATGTCTATACTTAATAGAATTGCACAGAGCAGCCATGAACCTCCTCTTCTCTGGCTCCCTGCTGGTGCTCTTGGACCCTTCTCTCTGTCCTGTGCCACCACGGGAACCCGCTTCCCATGGGGGCACTCATGTGTGCTTGTTCCTGAGCCCCGCTGCTGCGTCCATTGACAGATACAGCGAGACTTGGCCCTGCTCCCTCATCACTGGCTTTGATTGACAGATCTGGGAGCCAATGGCTCCTGGTGCCCAAGCAAAGCCAGCGAGACATGGAAATGAGGGGAGAGAAGAGCTACAGACATGCATGGCACTGGATTGAATGAGGGCTCAGGTAAGTAAAAGGGGGAATGAAGGGGGATGCTGATGCCTAAACATTTTTTACCTTAATGCAAGGAATGCATTAAGGTAAAACACATTTAGGCTTTAGAACCACTTTAAACTGGCTAAATGAACTCACTCAGATGAGAAGTAATTAATGATATGTAAATGTACTCATTTTGTAAAAACTGCCAATGTATTGTTAAGATTTCCATTCTATACATACAGTATTTTACAACCGTCCTAAATCGTCATCAATTTCTTTACTTGGAAATGTTTGATATCTTTTTATCATTACTCAGTAGCGTTTTTTGTTGCGAACCAATGTACAAGTACGTCTGCTGCTCAGACTCCAAAGGATCTTAGTCCATCACCAACTGCTGGAAGTGCTGGCTGGGAACGATACTCGCCTCATCTCCAAACATTAGTATGTAATAAAGAAAAATCCCTCAAGCCACACGTTGCTGCAAATCCACTGTAAAGGAGTATGTGACAGTCTCAGCCCAGGCTCCAACCAGGTCTGGGCTCACACTCGTTTACAGTGAATTTGCAGCTATGTCTGGCTTGAGGGATTTTTCTTCATTACATGCTAGTGTTTTGTTGCATTTTGTCTAATATCTTGGATAGCATATCTTTTATTTCAAGTAGTTTGGCTATGTGAAGTTGGTACTATATATATACTGGAGAAAAGGAAATAAAGCAAATATTCTTAGGAAATTGATTTTACATGTTATTTTTTGGACAAAGGTTTATTGTGAGGGTAGTTTAGTTGCTTTAGGTAACACCTTTAGTTTATATACTAATTTTACTGAGCCACTGCTTTGCTGTTATGGTAGAAATAGTAATACAACTACAAATGTTCAGAAATTAGATGAAATAAAGTGTTTTAAGCGAATAGGATATACTGTATATCGATAAATCAGTGGAAATCTTGTTGCATGTCAGTCTTAAGACTTGAGACTGATTTACTAGAAGCAAAGGTGAAACACTGCTGACTTACATCGTCCAATCATGTGCAAGCAAATCTAGTATTTTTTCCTGATAGCCCTGTAAGAACATCAATGTGTACTCCAGCTGAAAAGCCAGCGGGATTGTGTCACTAATTTCGGCATTATCACGCCTTGCCATTGTGATCACCTCTTGAAATGATTGTAATGTGCTATATGGGCCCTAATCAGAAGCACCTGGAGGCACTGATGTGGTGAAATGAACCCCAGCTCCCCAGAGCCTGTTCTCATCCTATATTTGCACAGATATTTATTGACGGCCCACTGCTGCTTGTGCAGTTACTGCAGCTTGAATAACGTTGAGTTATGTGGGTGTTTTGCACGTCAGGAGGTTGACAGGCAGCTTGTGTTACCGCTGCAGGCGAACACTTGCCAAGTATGGCCATCTAAAGTGGCCTAAACTCTCCTGCCACAGGACATCTTGGAAGCCAGGGTGCCTGGCCAGGACAGAACATGTGCCAGGCAAGATAAGTCTGTGAACTTTCCCTGCCAAAAGGTGACCAGCAGATTGGTAATGTTGTCAGAATTTACCTTGCCTGGCACAAGATGGCATGGGGTCAGCGACTGTTCAGCCTGCCTTTGAGGAGCTCCCAAAATCCCTGGCTTAGTGTAGCTCCTGTTCCACAGGCAAACCAGTTGCAAAACAGCATGGCATCATTTTGCCTGGGCTTTTACATAGGTTCTAACGAATCAGAGGATGAGGACATGGGGGGGAGGGGGTGACTGTGCTGTCACTTTCACCAATGTGTAAGACATGGAGTGGCAGCACCAACTCCAGTAGTGTGCCTCATCCTGCATCCTTTCCAACCACAAGCCCATGTGCCATAAAGGACATGTAACATCCCTGCCCATGCTTGTTGCACCACTATTCTGTGGTCACGTGGCCCAGCCACTGACAGTATGGTCCAGGCACACAAACACATTACCTTAGACATGATGGTAGAGGAAAGGGGTGACATTCTGTGGAAAAAAGTGGCTGGGTACCTGCTACTGTGTTGTAGCACAGGATATACATTCTCTGGCCACTTTATCAAGTACACCTGTTCATTTGCCTGGTAACACAAATTGCAAATCAGCCAATCACATGGCAGAAACTCAATGCATTTAGGCATGTAGACATGGTGAAGACGACTTGCTGAAGTTCAAACCGAGCATCAGAATGGGGAAGAAAAGGGGATTTAAGTGATTTTAAATGTGGCATGGTTGTTGGTGCCAGACGGACTGGTCTGAATGTTTAAAAAACTGCTGATCTACTGGGATTTTCACGCACAACCATCTCAAGGGTTTACAGAGAATGGCCTCAAAAAGAAAACATATTCAGTGAGTGGCAGTTGTGTGGATGAAAATACCTTGTTGATGTCAGAGGTAAGAGGTGAGTGGGCAGACTGATTGCTGTGACATTCAGATGGTAGGGCCAGAATTTGGCATAAACAACATGAAAGCATGGATCCATCCTGCCTTGTATCAACAGTTCAGGCTGGTGGTGGTGGTGTAATGACGTAGGGGATATTTTCTTGGCACTAGCTAGGTGTACATATAAAATGGCCAGTGATAGTAGACTGGTGGGCCAACTCTACAAACTGCAATGGGATCAGCTGTAAATCCAGCTGTTTTGCCAAGCTGGGATTGAGATGATGGGCATGGGGAGTGTTTAAGGGGCCTAGTCATGCTGATGGAAATGATGGTATGGGGTTAAGAAGCGTATGACAAATTTAAAGCCTACACTGCATGGCCCATACTAACCCTCAGGCTTGAAGTGCCACAATATAAGCCTCCAATATCTCTTGTGAGATTTAATTCTAAATCTCTTGAGGCTGCAGATGATGCAGCAGATGCAGGTAAAGAATTCTTGTGTGGCGAGGTGTGGAAATCAGGAATGAGGAGTACAGTCTATTGCTGTCAACTGGTTCCTCTGAGGTGCTGCTCCCATGGAAACCTTTGATACAGATTTATGTGTCTCCTTAAGCATGTGGTACCCAACTGACTACTATTTTTATCATGGATGATACCCTGCAGGCAGAGGCTGCAGGCCACAACAGTGCAGTAGCAGATTTGTGGAAAAAAAGCACAGACTGCAGAACTCTGTGGAGGTGTTCTCAGGGTAGCAGTGACTTTTACCCATAGAGAGTAGAAGTACCATTTGGTGGAATAGTTGCTCCATCCAGTCCTCTACAAG